CCCTCCTCCCACCTCCTCAAAAGTAGGCTTTCACCACACTATTGTCTGTCCATGGGCCATGCATATAAGCATAGAAGTTCTTTAGTTAATCTCTTCCTGCCCCCCACCCCCCTCTGAAATGTGTCAGTCTGTTGCATGCTTCAATGTCTCTGGGTCTGTTTTGTTCATCAGTTTATTTGTTCATTAGATTCCACATAAAGGTGAGATCATGTGATATTTGTTTTTCTCTGCCTCTTACTAAAATCTTATTTTTGTTAAATAAAAAATATATACACACAAATATATATGTATCTGTGTATATGCACACACACACACACACACACACACACATACACATAGCTGCTTATGTAAATGGCAATTTGAAAGTTCTTAGAGGTTATATATCAAACAGACAGCAGTTGGTATCTCTGAGCGGTGGGATTACTGATGACTTTTATTTTCTGTTTTATACATTTATGAATTTTCAGAATTCAGAAATTCTCTGTCTTAGTCATTCTATACGAAATACATGTGTGCTGATTTACAATAAGAAAAATTGTTTTTTGAAAAAAAGGCATTTCTGCTACATTTTCAGTTCCTGCAACAAAAACAGAATAAAAAACAAAACTGAAAATAGTAGTTTTCACTTACTGTTCAATCATCCAATAAATTTGTCTTTATTCATTTAACAAACAGCATTTTTGGAGGGGTTAATGTAATATTTGTAAAATTTTCAGAACTTCTTAAAATACTAGTTTATAAAAGAAAATGCAATCTAAGAAATAACTTTATTTATTTATCCTCACTCGAGAATATTTTTTCCATTGCTTTTCAGGACAAGTGGAAAGAGGGGAGAGAGAGAAAGAGAGAGAGAGACATCGATTGGTTGCCTCCCACACGTGCCCCAACCGGGGCCTGGGAACGAGCTAGCAACCAAGGTACATGCCCTTGGCCGGAATAGAACCCAAGTCCGTGGGCCGATGCTCTAGCCCCTGAGTCAAACCAACTAGGGCTAAAAATAACTATTTTTAAGTGGAGGCTACCATAGAGACAACATAAATGTGTTCAAAGAAGTTTTAAAATGTATCTACATTTTCAGAAATGAAATAAAATATATATACAGCTGGAAGAAATTTTGTGACTGTGAAAGCTGGGAGCAGGGTTCCTTCTCTGTAGTAAAGAGCCCCCAGTCCCTTTTCACATCAGAACATCCCGATGGACTCACTGGGACGTGGGTCACGGTAACGACAGAGGTGGCTGGTACTGGGACAGGCTTGAATTGTCCTGAACAGTGAAATGAGAAGTTCGGTTTTACTGGATCTGCCAGGCAAAGAGGTAAAGAAACTCAGGGAAGGATGGCAGAAAACCCCAGAGCACAGCGGGAAGGGCTGCTGTGGGAAGAACCAAGGGATGCTGAAGAGCAGGGAAGCCAAGCGTTCCACTCAGTACGGTTGTCTGCTGGGTGGCACTGTGCTGGGACGTAATCCCTCCCCGAAACCTTAAGTGTTCATTTTACCCTAAAAGTGTATTATAAACCTAGGGTCCTATGGGTAGTATTTCAGAAAGGAAGTTCTGGGGTGGTGGTCAGCAGCCTAACAAGATGCTGGAAAGAGAACAGACAGAGGATGCAACATGCAGTGCCGGGAGCGAGGTCAGCAAAAAGGCAGAGCAGGCAAAAGCGAACCCTTGTCCTTCCACGAAAAGACCCAGAAGCCAGGCAGACTCTCGGGACTGACTCAGTCAGAGCCCCGGCTCTCAGTCAAGGGCCTCAGCACGCACGTGGGCTCTGGATGAAACAACGGGCAACTTTAAAATGGTAGGAGAGCTTTGTGGCATTTCTACTTGCCCTGGTCCCACCATGTGCCCTGCTCAGGGGCTGTCCTGAAGGTGGCACTCCGCATTCCCCGTGTGCAACTCTAGCCTCTAGCTCTAGGAGGAGCAGAGCAGGCTTCACTTAAAATCAGTCGTCTGCTCCAGCCGGCCTCGGGGCTGCCCGAAAGCCTGATGCACTGCACGTGTCCTTATTTTACCCAGCTCCGGAGCCGGTCACGGTGAAAGGGCAGCGGGGCTCCTCAGAAGCCCCCTGGAAGGAAAGCTCCCAGCTGAGACGTCTAATATGCCAGAGCTTGCGGGAGGGGCGGCTGCGGGATAGGAAAGAGTGTCCGAGTAGCCATGGGAAGTTAGGACATTCAACAGCTCCTGTGTATACTCGGGAATTCAGAAAGCAACACACACGCCCAGGGCCGGATGCAAACTCAGAAAAGGCCTAATAAGAGCCTAAGCTTCCATCTGCAGACTCAGAAAAGACCTAATAAGACCCTAAGCTTTCACCTCTAGATAAGCTCTAGGCTCAGTGCAAACTTGAAGTAAAGGAGAAAACAGAATTGTAAATGGCCTGGCTAATTGTCCAGGGAGTGCCCCAGCACGGAGCCAATTTACAAAGTCCAGGAGAGGTTTTCTATTGTTGATCTGAGCAGTTTCTTTCTCTTTCTTTCTTTCTTTCTTTCTTTCTTTCTTTCTTTCTTTCTTTCTTTCTTTCTTCCTTCCTTCCTTCCTTCCTTCCTTCCTTCCTTCCTTCCTTCCTTCCTTTCTCTCCCTTCCTCCCTCCCTCCTTCCCTCCCTCCCTTCTTTCCTTCCTTCCTTCCCTTCCTTTTACTCTCCTCTCTCTCCCTTTCTTTCTCTTTCTCTCAATCTCACTCTCTTTCTCTCTGGCTCCTTGTGTTCAAGGAAATATTGTCTGAACACCAGCTGAATACAAGGTAAAGGAACAGAGACTTCGGAGACTACACATACAAAAACAAAGTTCACAAGCACTGTTAAGAAAAGCCACTAAACAAGCAGCTATAGCCTATAGCAAGCAAGGAAAGCAAACCTTCAGAAGAAGGAAGAACCTGATTTCAAAAGTAACTGCATTGCAGCCTTGGCTGGTTTGGCTCAGTGGCCAGAGCATCGGCCCTTGGACCGGAAGGTCTCAGGTTCAGTTCTGGTCAAGGCCACGTTCCTCTGTTGCAGGCTCATCCCCAGCCCCAGTTGGGGCATGTGAGGGAGGCAACGGATCGATGGGTGTCTCTCATATGGAGGGTTCTCTCTCTCTCTCCAAAAATAAAAAATAAAAAAGGAGAGGAACTATTTGGAGAAAATAATTGCTAGGGAAGACCATGATGAGAAGAAACTGAGGCCACAAGGAGCCTAACACTTTTTCAATGGAAGGGCCTCTGATATTGTTAACTTTCAGGATGTGCATTTTTATTCATTTCCAAAAGAAAGACACAATGTTATATTGTTTACTCTTTTTGAATTTTTTCTATTTTTTTCTTAAAGCTCTCCAGCGAAGTCATGATTACGCCAGTTGGTTAATGCCATAAAATCTCAGTGACATACAACTTTATTTGGTTAGTACTCTACTAGTCTTCAGCTTGGCTGGGGACCAGCTGACCTAAGCCGAGCTCTGCTGGAATGGTTCTTCTTTGCTAGCCTGGCCATGTTCTCGGAGGCATGGCAGGAAAGCAAAAGGACAAACCTAGTTGCACAAGTACTTCCCAAGCATCTCTTTGTCACATCTTCTGACATCCTGTTGACCAACACAAGTCACATGGCCAGGCCCAGAGTCTAGAAGTAGGAAAGAGCACCCTGCCCCAGTGAGAGGCACAGTTTAGGACTGAGATGAAGGGAGGGTAGAAGAATTGGGGCCATAAATCATCATTTTAGCCTTTGTAGAGGATCTTAAATGTTCATCTGTGCTTTCCCACTTATTTTTCTGTTGATCCTCACAACAACTCTTTGAGGATATTATTTTTATTTTCCACATTTTATAGAAGAAGAAACAAAGAGAAAGGTAAAGTAACAGCCAGTTAGTCGTAGGAGGGGACTTTCTCCTTTTTTACAAAAAGCAGTAGAAAGGGAAAGCGGTGGACTTTCCTCACTTTGATCATAGTTAAGCACTCTTTTCTTTTGTTTATAGGATGAAGACCAAAAACCACTACAATGGGAAGGGATAAAGAAACCAGAGGTAAAGCATGCTGGTGTTGAATAGTAGATTGTTTCTTATTTGTTTTCTAATGACCAACCATCTATCTAAAATGGCTTCATTGTAGTCCTGCCTCAAATACAATAAAATGCACATCAAAATAATTGCTACATCTTTACAAATACCAAGGAAAGAACCCCCCCCCCCCCAAATTCCATATACACAAAAAAGCAGCCTCCGCTAAAGAAGTTAAATCACGTTTTATAGATGACTAGGCTATAGTAGTAATTGCTAAAAATTTTTGAACATGTGCTCCCAGTATATGTGAATATATTGACTTTTAAATGATAAAAACACTGTTGTACAAATAAATGCACCTTAAATACAAACAAAATTTTGAACACATAAATAATATTTTAATAATTTTCACCATTGATCTTTAATGGAATAATGTCACTAAATACACTTCATTAGTTTTGAAAACTTTCATTTGATTCTAGTGGCATATTAGCTGGAAAAGATACCTCAGAAAAAGCAACATATACAATTAAGCACATAGGAAGAGGTTCATCATTAATGATATTAGATGTAAATCTATATTCCAAATAGTCTGATTGGGGGCAGGCTGGCTCCCTGTTATATCTGATCACTTTTTCATTGTTCCTAACCCCATGATGTGACTGATGAACAGCTTCTACTGGTGTAGAAGTGTAGACTGTCATTTTCTTACTTACTGGTGTTGCATTTTGGCATTATTTTCAATCCAGCATTCATTTCACTATAAGAATGTCTAAGCCACTTCTCCATTTGTGAAGATTATGTTAAAAATCATGTTAGCTAAGACTAGATCATATAGTCCATAATGTTCCTTTATCAAGCATATGTATGTGAACTTCTGTCTTAAAACAAAACCCTCTTGCCCTAGCCGGGTGGCTCAGTTGGCTGGAGTGTGATCCCGTACACTGAAAGGTTGAGAGTTCAATTCCCAGTCAGGGCACATACCTAGGTCGTGGGTTCCATCCCTGGTTGGGGGGGCATACAGGAGGCAATCGATTGATGTTTCTCTTTCACATCTCTCTCTTTACCTATCTATCTATCTATCTATCTATCTATCTATCTATCTATCTATCTCTATCTATCTATCTATCTATCTATCTATCTATCTATCTATCTATCATCTATCTATATATCTATCTATCTATCGTCTATCATCATCTATCTATCATCTATTATCTATCATCTATCATCTATCATCTATCTATCATCTTTCTCTCTCTCTCTATCTCTCCTTCCTCTCTTTAAAAATTGATAAACATATCCTTGGGTGAGGTTAAAAAAAAACACTCAAAACCATCTCTTAACCTCATAACCCCTTCCAATTATCACCTCATTTCTTCCCCTTTACATCTAAACTCTCAAAAATATCCTGTGCTCAATTTCTCTTTTTCCGTTCTTTCTTGAACCCAGTCAGGCTTGAATTCCCACCATTCCACCAGAATTACATTTGTCAAGGTCACCTTCTTACTGGAGATGCATTAGACACAGCTGCTGATCCCTCCTTCCTTCTCCTTCCCTCTGTGCCACCAACTCTTTTTATTTATCTATTACTTTACTGGCCACATGGTCTCATCTCCTCTACTAAATCTTCAACATCTGCCAGCCTATAAATGTTGGAGGGCTCACACCCTCCAATGGCTTTGTGTTTCATTCACGAATAAGCCAAAGTCTTTTCAGTAGTACACAAAGCTCTACATGATCAATTGCCTGCCCCTCCAATACTCGGACCTCCTATCCTCCTGATCTCCCTTCAGCAATTTCTCCCCTCCAGCCACAGTGGTCCCCCAGGCCAAGTGCACACCACCAGCACATATGCTTCCACCCCACAGATTTTGCCCTAGGTGTTTCCTCTGACCATGACGCTTCACCTCTAGACATCTGCATGGCTCGCTCCCTCACCTTCAGGCTTCTGCTCTAAGGTCAACTTCTCCCCAAAGTCTTCCCTGTCAACCCTATACAAAATAGCAATCCTCCCCATCTCTCTCCACCATCTTTCTCTCTCACCCTGCACAGTGTTTGTCACTGTATGACATACTATATATTTATTCTTTATTCATTTTTGTCTGCTTCTCCTACTAGAAATGTAAACTCTTTGACTTTGTGCTGCTCACAGTTGTAGCCCCAGGAGCTAGAACAGTACCTTGCACATAGTAGGCTCTCAACAAATATTGAACGAATATGTTATGAACCCATGTGTAAATATCAGTGATGATTATTTTATTCCTACTTTTTCAATAAAACATATAAATTAATATAATTTCTGTTATTTTACCCACTGGGTTAACTTTACACTCCCAGGGTATACATAACCCACTGAAAATTATTGGTTTACGGGAATGGTTTTCAGTCTTTGGGGAGCATAAGAATCCTTATGGAGTTTGTTTAAAGTACAGATTCCAAAGCCTTCTCCCAGAGATTGTGGTTCAGGGGTCTCTTGTTTGGGTCCAGGAATCTGCATTTGTAAAATAATGCACTACATTAACACTCAGATGGTCTAGGGACACAATGGGAATGCCTGATCCGTGTATCTGGTAGTCTTTTTCAGTCTGCAACTCCAGACTCAAGAAAAATGGAAAAGGCTTCTAGAGCATGTCTCAGTCAGCTCACACACCGCTCACACAGAGAATGATTTAGGTTCCATGCTTCCTAGACAAGTGGTTCTCAAGGTTTTGGATTATGGAGACTGTGTCCAGATACCTGGTCTCTATCAGTCAGTATTGGCTAGGATATGCAGCAGTAAAAACCAGTCCCCAAATCTCAGTGACTTAACAACAACAAAAGTTAATTTTTGCTCATGCAAAGTCTACTATGAGACTGGGTGACTCTCCAAGGAAAGTATCCCCCATGAGTTGGCCCAGCATTCTAGGCTGCTTTCAATTCTATGGTATCTCTGCAACACGTATCTTCATGATCACCATGGCAGGGCATGAGAAAGCAGGGTCATTTTTCAACGGCAATTAAATGCTTCCACGTGAAACTAATACATGTTACCAAAGCTCATATTTTATTGGCCAAAGCAAGTCACCACTGTGTCCAGCCTCAAGAAAATGCAATCTTTTCGTCTGCCTGGAAGTAAGGTAAAATACAATTTTGTAAAGAGTATTAATGTTTACAACAAATATAAACATTAAAAAACATTTAGAGCCCTGGCCAGGTGGCTCGGTTGGTTGGAGTGTCATCCCGTACACCAAAAGGTTGCCGGTTCGATCCTTTTACTATTTACCTCAGAATCCTTAATAACACGTTCATACAGACATTTGTTTTAACCAATCCCCTGATTTTTCAGCCATTCCATGTTCTTCAGCGGTACTAGCTGCCTTAATTTCTAAGCTTTCCTGGGTGAATTGCTTCATTCTTTCGGCCTTCCCTTATTATGCATGGGTTTCCATGTCCTCTGGTCTGCTGACTCCCTCACCACCAGCCCATCTGCTTTGCAGCCTCCACCATTTTTATAACATCTGAAGTCTATAGTTCTCCCTCATTCTCTTTGGCTTTATTGGTTACGTCATTTTTAAAAAGACTCTTTTACTCTCATTTTATTGGGACTTGAAGAGACTTTTTTTAAAGCCCGTGTTCGGTGTCCCACGGCTAAGCACAGGACCTGCGAAAGGATTAGCCCACACCCCGCTCCCATCCTTCGTTTCCCATTCTGGCCTCGGCTCACCCGGGCCTGGTTTCTGCCCCTGCCACTCAGCTAAAACTATTTCTCTGAAGGACCCCGATGACCTTTGCGCGTCAACTTCAGTGGCCTTTTGTCAGTCTTTGTCCTCTGAAGCTCTCTGAGACATCAGACACGCTGAGCAAGGGAAACACAGCCTCTGGCTTTCTCCACATCTTCGGCTCCTTAAGTGTAAATTTTCCTCCAAGTTCTGTGTTTGCGTGGTGTGGCCTTTTTTCACCTTTCACACCGTGAATACCAGGCCCGCCAGGCCCCTGAAGTGAGTCTCAGCTGGGAGAAAGGCGAAGCTCTCAACTAAAATGAAGGTTAGAGTTTCAGTGATTACTGTGCAGGGCTGGGCATTGTCATTGTTGTTACATGATTGTTCCTGGGACTGAAAATCTTTTAACTTTTTGTCTTTGCTCTTAATTTAAGGGTGACTGAAAAATTACAACCCTTGCCCAAGTTTCTTTGCAAATATCAAGGAAAAACGGGACCTCGAAAAGATTTAAAGGGATAAAGGCAGGAATCAAGTTGATTTCTTCCTGCATCCAATTAAAATACCACTGTTTCAATAAAAAGGTGATAGTCTCTGCTGTCAGGGCACTTACTACAGGAGCTATGTAACTATACAAATTTCAACTCTAGTATGTGGTACATGGAACCATGAAAAGTAGGTAACGGGTGGATTTCATTCCAGATCAAGGTGTCAAAAGCCAGTGTAGTGAATGATCGATTTGTCCAATTTTTTTCTTTCTATGGCTATTTAATAATTTATTGGAAAGCATATTGGATAGGATGATTTTCACAGCTTTTGCACATTTTTGCATGGTTTTAATCGACTGGTTTTTATTTGTCTTCATAATAGCACTTAAAGATTGATTTGTTTCTGCCCAGCCTGCTGTTACCACAGCTGGAGGGCACTGAGAAGAGAGAGGCTCTCATTGCTGGGGGCTAGGGACACTAGAGGCCAGAATGCCCATCCTCCAGAGGGGGCCACTAGGACACAGAGAGAGAACACTGGCTTCCCAAGACTGACTTTTGTCCCAGTTGGCCTGTTCCCAGCCCTCATCACATTCCTCTGGATTTCTACAGGTCTAATTGGGTTTTTTCCTGTCTGATCTATCTCCGGAAAGATTTTCCTCAAATGCGAATTTGCTTCCCAGCTTAAGGTCTCTTGGTGGCTCCCTCAGGACCTGCTCCCTTACCCTCTCCACCACCTCTCACTCTGTTCTCCAGCCTTAAGTGCACTGTTCTTTCTCACACTCCTGCCTGGTGTGCCTACTCACACCCCTCTGCCAGCAGCCTCCTCCCCAGCACCCCAGAACCCAGCCAGACATCGGCTCATCCAGAAAATGTTCCCAAGTCTCCTAGTTGGCCAGGAGCCTGGAACACTGTCCTAATGGCACCCTGGCCCACATGGGTCAGAGATCCATCAGGCAGACTTGCTGGTCTCCCTTCAGGTTAGGGAGCTCATTAGGACCGAACTTTTACTCTTCTGGCCTGGTGCTTCCTAACTCATTTATTGACTTAATTGATACCTGAGCTAATGATCTGTCTTCCAAGCTTCAGACACACATCTCCCCTTCCTACATAATATCTCTACATTCATGTCCTCAGGCACCTCAGACTCGACAGGTCTCAAACAAAACCCATAGTGCTCTCGTTTAGCTTAATATCTATTTTGATTGTTATTATATCTCCTTACCGGGACTCAACCTCAAAACCTAGGACCCACCCTCAGCCCCTACATGCGGTAAACTGTCCCATCCCATTGCTTTTGCTTGCTCAAGTGTCTTTCCAAACTTTTCTCATGCTCACTGCTGCTGCCTCTTCCTCCCCAGTTTCCTGACCAATGGCCACCCCATTTGAAGCACACACACACACACACACACACACACACACACACACACACCAACCACATACCCATCCGTTGGGACTGCTCACAAGTCCCTAAACACAGTCTGCACCATCCCGCCTGGGCTTTGCTAGCACCAGCCCCCTGCTAGCACCCGTCTTTCCTCCCCGTGCTCAACTGCTACCACTTCCATGAGGCCTTTTAAAATCCCCCCTGAGGACATCTGTCATACTTTAAACAATAAAGATAAATTTAAAAATAAATAAATAAATGAAATCCCCTTTGAAAAACTTGCTCTCTTCCACTCCAGGAGCACTGAGCATATTTGTACCACTGTTACATCGCTTACCTCCGTCTGCCTTGTACCCAGTTATTATGTGTGTTTCTATCTTATCTAGATACCAAGCCCTTAGAAGACAGAGCCCATCTCATGGTCATCTTAGAGGAGTTTAACAAATAGTTTTACATTTATTAATAGAATCAATCAATTTCACTCATCAATTCATTTTGTAAGACTATATTTAGCATCAGATTTGTGACTCCTTAACATGACTAATGAAACTCATTGATTTCTTCTGTGGCAGAATTTTATTCTGGCTTTCGGATAATAATAGCTCCCATTGATTTCATGCCTGCTACCTGTCAAGCATTATATGCATATTATTTCTAATCTTCCCAATAACCTTACAAAATAGAAGAACTCATCCCCAGTTTACAGATGAGGAGACTCACATTCACTAGGGTAGCTTGCCCAAGACCATATAACTGTAAGTGCCTAAGCTGGGACTAGAAGCTGGGTTTATCTAATTCTGAAAACAGCCAGACCACACACCCCTCATCTGTGCTGTGACGTAGGTGAGTCTGTTGGATTTCTTTCCTTCACTTACTCATATTCAAAGAGGAGATTTTGGGTTGTTGCTAAGTTAGTGCCTATTTTGTGTTTTATAGGTAACTTTGACATCAGAAACATCTCAAGAGGATCTGGTGGACCAAAAGTGCTTAACTGAAAAACACACACATCTCTCCTGCCATAAAGTCTTCTGCCAACCATGGCAGAGATGCATCGAAGGAAAATGCATCTGTAAACTCCCTTATCATTGCCCAAAGAATGGTACCACGGTGTGTTCCACTAATGGGAAAAGCTTCCCCACTTATTGTCAGCTAAAGAGTTTCGAATGTCTTCGTCCAGAGGCAAAGTTTTTAAATAGTGGAGCATGTACAGCTACAGGTAGGAAAAGCTTAGTTTATTCTATGATATAAGAAGGAAATTGTCTATCATACTTTCTGTTAGAAACTACTTTTCCTATGAAATGTTATGATGACAATTCAAAATTCTCTCTAGTCTCAATAGTAACTGGGGTGATAACTAAAGATATCAGAATGTAGCCCTAGCCAATTTGGCTCAGTGGTTAAAGTGTCAGCCCGGGGACTGAGGGGTCCCAAGTTCAATTCTGGCCAAGGGCACGTTCCTCGGTTGTGGGCTCCATCCCCAGTGCTGGTCCAGGCTCATGTGGGAGGCAACCTCAATGTGTCTCTCTCACATCGATGTTTCTCTCCCACTCTCTCTGAAAAGCAATGAAAAGAATATCCTTGGGTGAAGATTTTTTAAATTTTTTAATTTTTATTTATTTATTTTTAATATATCTTTATTGATTTCAGAGAGAGGAAAGGAGAGGGAGAGAGAGATAGAAACATCAATGATGAAAGACTCATTGATTGAGCCCCCAACCCAGGCATGTGCCCTGACCAGGAATCGAACCCCGATTGCCTGGATCCTAGGTCGATGCTCAACCGCTGAGCCACGCCCAGCCGGGGTGAAGATTTTTTTTAAAAAAAAGAAGTCAGAATGTAGCCAGCCCCTGGGTCCAGAGCCCCAGTCCTCCCCTCAGTGCCTGTGCAATGCTTTGTCACCCAGGCCTTCAGAATTGTCCCCACCCTCACTTCTACTTAGCTAAAGGGTCATTTACTTGGTTCAGAGCCCAGTGAAAAAGTCTTTACATGAGATTGGTGCTGATACGGAGCCTCCCTCTGGCCCTCTGGCCCCAGTCATTTCTTCCAGCATTCATCCCACCAGCCCCTATCCCTCTCCCTACCCCTGATCCCACTGGCCCTGATTCAAGGGGAGCTCAGGCCACTGCTGCTGACCTAAAACATACTTCAACCTAGCAAACTTGGCACATCAGATCAGAGAGCTTGTCCACACTCCATTCAGGTGCCTAATGTAGTAAGAAGGCTGGGACACTCATAAGTGGATTAGTGGAGGGGTTAAGATTAGGGATCTCAATGTCACTCAGGTTTAATTGCAAGACTGCCCAAGCCCCAATTTGGTTATTGATGAGCTATGTGACCTCTCTGGACCCCAGTTTCCACATCTGTAGGATGTGAATAATAGTGATTCCTAACTCATAAGACTCTTGTGAATAAAATGATGCATGCAAAGCTCTGCACACAGTTTTGGCTCACAGAAAGTGCTCGTGGAATTTTAGCTACGACAGCAAACTTCAGGCTTGTCTTCTGATACAATTATCACAGGCTCTCACTCGATGAATTTACAGAGGAATGTTCAAAACATTTTTTTTAAAGGCATCATGATATACACCAGCTCGCAGCCCCCTAGATATTTCTATGGTGCTGAGTTAAGGTGGTGAAGGACTGTGGAAAAGGGGAACGACAGCTCGCTATTGGCGCCCATCTCCCCTACCTGTTGGAGCGGAGGAAAGCAATCGCGGAGATTATTTTGTCAGTGTCAGACTTTTGTTCTCTTGAGGCATTAAATGCCATAAATATATGAGAGTACACAAACCTTGCCTACATTTTCATTACTTGTTCCACATACTTTAAAGAGCACGGACTTTGGAGTGAGATCAATATTGTACAGTGATTTTTCAACCTTTTCCATCTCACAGCACACATAAACTAATTACTAAAATTCTGTGGCACATCAAAAAATATATTTTTTTGCCAATCTGACAAAAAAAAAAAGGTATAATTTTGATTCATTTACACCAGACAGCTGTTGTTGTGTTGGCTGTTGTCATTTTCTTTTTGACAATCTCAGGGAAAAGAGGTCAGTGTCCCTGACTAAATAGTCAGGCATTGCATGTTTTTAAAATTCTTGCAGCTCACCGGTTGAAAATCGCTGATATAATAGGTTCAGATTCCTGGCTGCACCACTTGAGAAAGTAACTTAACTTCATGTATAAAAGTGGAAGAACTTAGGTTCCTCGTGTGTAAAATGGAGATAAATATCAGCCTAATCTTCATAGGGTTGATGTGAGGATTTTGTGATAATTCCATGTAACTGGGTAGCACAGCCACTGACCCATAATAAGCCCTCATAAAATAATTGCTTACGATTACTTGTTAAAATCTTCACGATGTTTAAAGTTAATTTGAAATTATGTATCTTATTATTTTCAAGGCTTTTTCATCAAGAGGAAAAAAGTGAATGCCTAAATGTTACACATTCTTTTGGTTTTATTTTAGGGCAATTTAATATTTCCTTGAAGTACGGCAGTAGAGATTCAGAGGGAATTGTTGAAGTAAAACTCGTAGACCAAGATAAGAAAATGTTCGTATGTAATAACAGCTGGGGCATAACGCAGGCCAATGTGGCCTGCCTCAACCTTGGATTTCAACAGTGAGTGCCTAACGTCAGGGGATTTTCTCAGGGTTGATTTTCTTGTTCCAACTATTTGTTTTTTGATTACCTGATCTTTCTGTGTCTCAGCTTCCTCATATGTAACCTGAGAATGTTAACTGCCTGCCTCAACCCAGCATTGTTATGGGGATTAAATGTGCTCATGGTTGACTAGCGCTTAGAACACTGCTGAGCACAGAGCAACTGGAAGTTTGTTAAAGTTTCTGGATACAAATTCTTCGCTGGTTTGGAGAGTTGCAAACACATTCATTACTGTCTGTCTCTACTCATCTATACTTATGTACACTTTTTCATACCTAATATTATTTATTTATGCCTTCCTTTTTTCTAGATCAACATTGCATAGATTTGTCTATTTGATTAGTGTTTGGGATTTTTATATTTGTAAATTGTCTCATGTTTCTCTATTTTCAACCTCATTAACTTTTGCTATTGTGTTTGACTCTCTTCTTTTCAGCACTGTAATTTTTCTAATTCTTCAAGGTAAATACTCAACAATTTTTAATTTTTTTCCCTAAGGTAAGCATTTAAAGCACAAATTTTCGCCTAATGCCTCATCTGCATACCATTAGCCTCCATAAGTGGTATTTTATTTATTGTTGAGTTCAAAATATTTTCTAATTTTCAATATGATTTATTCTCTGACTCATACATAATTTAGAAGTGTTTTTTTCCCCTAATGAATATGTTAGTTTGCTTTTAGTGAACTTTTTCCTATTGTTTTCCTATTTATTTATATTGTAGTCAGAGAATGTCTCTATATGATGACAATTGTTTAGATATTTGTTGAGGCTTGCTTTGTGCCGAATATATTTTAAATACTTCATATGCAGGGTTCTATATAATAGATATGTTACTTATTAGAATAAGCAAGCTTGTTCACTGCCTTCTTCAAAGTTTTCCCAATTTATTTACTTATAAGTTTTTGTGTCTTTATCTTTTAAGTGTGTCCCTTATAAACAACATATATCTAGATTTTTTTTTTTTAAATCCAACATGACAATCACTGTCAGAAAGTGTAGTCCATTTACACTGTTGTGATTGTTTACATTGTTAAAACTATTTTTCTTACCTTAGTTTGGGCTTATTATTTACCCTGCTTTTTCTGTGCTCTTGTTTCTTCCTTTTATAATTTCTATTAGGTTAATAACGTTGTTGTTGTTTTAATCTTCCCCCTTGTCTTCCTCTATGTGGTTTAGAAACTATACATTCTATTTTTATTCCTTTATTGCCTATCTTTACATTAACACCTTGAATCCTTGACTTAGGAAGTCCTCAGCCTCTTCGGGACTAATACAAAGAATGCCACTGCCCTCTCAAGGATCCAGAATTTACTTCCACCTTATTTCAATATGTCCTTGAAGTTAACTGCTCTCATTATATAATCAGCAGTTGTTATTACTGTTGTTCTGTCAGTGCTTAGTCAGATTTACTTGATGTTTACCAACTTCTTGGTTTTTGTTACTTCTTACCTCTCACTCCATAATTCTGGATTCAATTTTCTTCTTCCTAAACCATATCTGCTAGTAGTTCCTTATCGAGAGTCTCTTACCATTAAATTGGCCCACAGGGTATTTATGATTTTTGATAGTTTGTGGCCTACAACCTATGATTCAACCTAATGGTAAATTCTCTCAGTCTTTGCTCTCTCAGTATCTTGTTCTTATCATATTTTGCATAAGCTCAAGGACAGACTTCTCTGATTTGCGTCAGTGGGTATTTCCCTCACTTCCTTAAGAGCTCATTGCGGGCATTTATTATATTTTATCTAATATTTTTAGATAATTTTAGGTTGAGAGCTTTTTCAGGTTATCCACCTGTCAGGCTACCCCAAATGGCTGTCATGGGTTCTCATATTTTGATGCTGTTTGGCTCAGTTTCATGGCTACTGTGTCCTCATTATGGATCTGAAATAATTAAAAATACCCTCCTTGTTCTCTGTTTTGCCTTCCATTCTAATTGAACTGATATTTATATTGCCATTACTGCTTTATTTTTGTTTGTATCTGTCTGATGTATCTTTGCTCAACTTTTTACTTTTTTTAACCCATTTTTCTCATTTGCTTCTAAAGAGAAGCAGGGAGCAATTGACCGTCCCGGAAAAGTGCTTCACTGTAGCGTAGCACCTCTAGGACATGCAGCCTCTTGCCCAACACAAATGTTTGAACAAATCGCGACGCCCAAGCAATGGCATATAGATGCCAAAATACCACCTTAATACGATTACAGATTAATTGAGGATGTAGCTTAGTGTAAAAGCAAAATGGACCTGCTAGAATTAAACCAAGTTAACCTCCCAAATCCTAGGCAACAATGGGGTGTTCGTGGTAAGCCTGACGGCATGGGGCAGGCACAGAGGCCCACCCACCCCCAAATGGAAAAGCTGGGCTGACCTCGTCCGATTTATATTTCCAAAATTCCCTGATCAAATGAATCCATTCCCTTTCCTGGAAAGAAGAGGAATTAAAACATGAGAGAGGCCATGAATGGCTCAACTCACGTTGGAAAGTAACATCAGGAGTCAGGAAGAGGAAACAATCCTCCTTAACCAGAAACAGAGGAGGGAAACCAGTATTTGCTGAGTGCTTGCCACGTTTAGAAATCTGGCTAGCCAGCTGAAATTGACCGTTATAGTTAATCTTTACAAAACTTGGTGAGATAATTATATTTCCTTTTGCAAGTGTACTGAGGCTGAGAGATTTTAAGCATCTTTCTTGCCTTATGTAGAAAATAAGAGGAAATTAGCTCTATTGCCTTTCTTCTACAGTTAAGGTTACAAATGCAAAGTATCCGTTGTTCTACCCTAATGTTTCATTTACTCTATCTGCAGAGGAGCCCTTGATACTCAAGGAAGCTTTCATCTTCCTGAAGATCTCCATATAAATTCCACTGAATGTCTGCAAGTGCACTGTCGAGGATTCGAGTCCAGTTTGGCGGAATGTACCTTTACTAAGAAAAAAATCAAAAGTCACCAGGGCTTAGCGGGTGTGGTGTGTTACACACAGGATGCAGGTTGGTAGAGGGGGTTTGCCTGATATTTTCCCTTCCTTCATAGTTGTTTATTTCAAACCAAGTCTGTAATAAACAAACAAGTGGTGGATACCCAGTTACCAGTTACAGAGGCAAAATCATGTTTTGGGTTTTAGAGCCTAAATTGGAGTTTTCTCCCTTCTGTGCCTTTTGCCACTCTGTCCAGGTGCCTATATGGGAAGCAAAGTTGCTTGACTCCCCTTTGCTTCCTTGAACATCGGGGTTAAAGTTAACACAGCAAACACAAGTCAATCGAGCATCAGAAGAAACCTCGGCATCTCCTTGAGACATCCAGCCTAGACACATTCCTTTAAAATGTTCGTGACCAGATTCTTGTTTCAGTTTTCAGGCCACTTTTTCTCCTCCATGCTGATGTTGGAATATTTTAGCCACGTATCTATATTGTGTTAAGGGCCAAAGCCTTTTATGGTGCTAAAAAATGTACCATCAAAATGTAAATGGTACTGTGACTTTTGGGATGGGGTGGGGATGAAAGTAGTAGCATGAAAAGAAAGGGTGTGACTAGTGTTTGCCAGTGTCCGCAAGTCTCCTGATTCCTGAACCCTCCCCCAATCTCAGCAAGAACAGGCCTCCATAGTATTGGTTTCTAGAGATAATGACAGGGCCTTCATTAGCCAGTTTTGGCTTTTATTTTCCTCATTGACAATATATACTATGTTGAAACTACCAAACTGGGGGGGGAGGGTTGCTGAGTGGAGCCTTCACAGGAGTTCGTCGGGGGGGTTTTAAAATATGTTTTTACTGATCTTTTTTTTTTTAAGAGAGAGAGGAAAGGAGAGGGAAGGATAGAGAGAGGGAAACATCGATGAGAGAAATATCATCGATCAGCTGTCTCCTGCACGCCCGCTACTGGGGATGGAACCCGAAACCCAGGCATGTGCCCTGACCGGGAATGGAACCGTGACCTCCTGGTTCCTGGCTCAATGCTCAACCACTGAGCTACACCGGCCGCGCTAAGTTATCAATACATTTTATATCAGTTTTTCTTTGATGCCTGACTTTATCTTAATGTCCCCATTATTCCAAAACTGTGATTAAGATGTCACCCACAGCTCTACAAAACAATTTCACAAAGACAATTCTTACTTTACAGTTTCTCCAACAAGTGACTCCTTTCAGTGTGTGAATGGGAAACTCATTCCTAAGAAGAAGACCTGTAATGGTGTCAATGACTGTGGAGACCAAAGTGATGAGCTGTGCTGTAAAGGTAGAGATCAATCTCGCCTCTGAACCCCCCAAATGCATCCTTCTGACTAAAAAAGTAGAAACAACTTTACCACTGAATTCAAGATTCCATCTCATTCCTTTATAAGAAAGAAAACAAGAAAACCAAAAACTCTTCTATTTGTGTTTGCGTAGGGTGCCAAGGCAGAAGTTTCCTTTGTAAATCGGGTGTTTGTATCCTAAACAAGCACAAGTGCAACGGTGAGGTGGACTGCATCACAGGCGAAGATGAAGTTGGTTGTGAAGGTAATTTAAAGTTTCGTGGTTACTTCTCATGCAATCAGGGATTCCAAGCTTTTTTTTAAGGCAAATTGTAATCTTAAGTGACCACAGGAGGGTGTAGCAGTAGGAGTACTATTGAGTGAGCAGTTGAAGAACTATGGAATGATCTTATATTTTTATTTATTAAATATTTGTTTGTTATTTCAGAACTTTTTATTAGGGAATTTTCCCACATAACAAAAACAGGCTGTTAGAATGAACCCTTATGTATGCATCTCCCAGCTTCAACAATTATTAATATTTTGCCAGTCTTGTTCAGCTTTTTTTGAGCATTTTAAAACAAATTTCAGATGTCACATAACTTTGCCTATATATATCTCTAAAGATAGCAACATGTTTATATACAACCATCATCTCATTAGTACACCTAAAAATAATAATTCCCTAACACTGTTTAGTAACAGCCCATGTTCAAATTTTCCCAACAGTTTTTAAAATGTCTTTGTAGAATTAATATGCTTGAATCACGGTACAAAAGAATCTAACATTGTGGTCAGTTATTAAGTTTTTAAAGTATCCTTTAGTCTTTAAGAGTTACCCACCCATCCACCCCCAAGTTTTTTCATGCCATTGATTTTCTAGAGAAACTGGGTCATTTACCTACAGGATGTTCCTTATTCTGGATTTATGGAGACTTGATTAGATGCAAAGTTCAATGTTTCAGGCAAGAATTCTTGATCAGTGGTGCTGTGTGATTCCTATTTATATAATGTCTTGTTGTCTGGTTATCCCACTCCCAGTGATTGATCCCTGGATCAGTTTGATGGCTCCTTTAAAACAGTCCCCCCACAACTCTTCACCTTAATGGTTTTCAGCAGCCTTTGTAATTATTACCTTGAGCCAATTTGCCAATAAGGACTGTAAAATGGTGATTTCTAATTCCTCATTCCTTCTGCATTTATTAACTTCTACAGAGAAGAACTCTCTGCATCCACTATTTTTTCCATGGAATGCAGTTCACAATAGGAAGGCAGAATCATGTGTAATCCTTCCCCTTTACTTACTACGTGTTTCAAAGCAATGGGTCGATGGTCTTAGATTCTTGGTGCTCATTGAAAAACCTCCAATGTGAAAAATATTTACTAGGAACCTAATCTGCCACACAGACTGACTTCTTGTTCCCATCAATGTTTCTAAGTCATTACATTCATTCATTTACTCAACGCATATTTAAGTTCTTACTGTTATGTGTGCCAGGTCCTGTTCCAGGTGCTGGGGTTACAACAGTGAATATTGTTTCAAAATCCCTGCCCCTTCATAGATCTTACAGTCTAGTGGATGAGGGAGGCAGTAAACGAGAGAAACAGATAAATTATCTCAAAAAGAATAAGTACTAAGAAAAAACAAACAAGGAAGGAGAATATAAAATGTCAAGGGTAAGTTCTAAAATTTTAGACAAGGTGGCCTGGGAAGGCTCACTCACTGAGGTGACTTTAGGTAAAGAGCTGAAGGAAATGATGGACGTAATGGCTGTGTGTGTGCCAGGTGGGCACTGGAAATATGGGGAGGAACACTTTGTGAAGCCTGTGATTGTCTAACCACTATGCTGTACATCTGAAATTAATATAAAATAATACTGTAATTATTAGTTTTGAATTATTAATTATTGAATGTAAATTGTAATTATGAAATAAAATTTGGGGGGGGAAATAAAAATAAAAGGTGGAGCCAGCCATGTAGATATGTGCGGAGGAGTGTTCTGAGCAGAGGCAACAACCAGGATTCCTAAGACAGGAACATTCCAGTGTGTGGCATGAACAAGCAGCCAGGAGGATAGTAGGGCAGGTGTTGCAGGTGGCAATAGTGAGAGGTTAAAGGACGAACAGTAGGAGAGGCTAGAGAGGTGGTTCGTGTGAGGGAGATTAGGGCCTGTTTGTAAGTGAAATGGGGACTTTAAGCAGAGGAGCGACATGGTCTGACTCAAGATTACCCTGGTGGCTGGTTGGGAAATAGTCTGTACGAGGGTAAGGGGAGATGCAGGGAGACCAGTGAGGAAGCCATTGCAGTAGTTCAGGGAAGAGACGATGGTGACTCGAACCAATGGATAGGAAGGAAAATGATGAGAAGCAGTCAGATTCTGGATATATTTTGAAGCTAGAGCCAAAAATATTTGCTGATAAGTTGGATGAGGGTATGAGAACAAGTGAGCAGTTGGAGATGAGTCCCAAGGTTTGGGCCTGATAATTAAAAGGATGGAGCTACTTTCAACAAAGAAAAAAGGCTGCAAGAGGAGTGGCTGTACTTAGACCCACCTTACATATGGGACTTATCCAGTGTGCTGGATAAACTAAATGTTTAACCCTTGGCTTTGAGAGAGAGGGGGAAGCTCTGATTTGTAGCCTTTGCCAATTTCTATGGTGTAAATTCTCCCACCATGTCAACACTGAACGACTGTAAACTGTTTATTGCCTTTTTTTGCACTTGTCTTACCTTCCCTTCTCAACAGAAACACCTTGAAAATAGAATCTACCTCATTATTTTTATATTTCAAATGTCCTAGGTAAAGAACCTTACACATAAGTATTAAATAAATGTCGAAGATATGTATGGATAAATGAATTGACACTAATTCTATTTTGTCGTTACTTGGTATGCCAAGATTTTGACTTCACTGATATTTTGTTTAATTTTCCACCTATATCACTTCTTAAATTAAAAAACAACAACATACTTTTTAGGATTTCAAATCACATAATTTCTTTTGAAGGGTATATAAAAAGTTGCGCAAAATACTTTTATGTTCACTAAATGTAGTTAAATCCCTTGTAAAGAGAGGGGAGGAAGAAATTTCAAAAAATTTTTCAGGGAGGAAGACAGTAAACCATAGCTTTTGCCAGTGAATCTTGACAGCTTTCATCTGAGTTTTATTGAGATATAATTGATACACAACACTGTATACATACATTTAGGTGTACAGCATAATGGCTTGACACACATATATTGTGAAATTATTATAATAAGAGTAATTGCCATCTATCACCTCATACAGTTAAAAAAAAAAAAGCATTTTATCCTTGTGATGAGAAGTTTTAGGATTTACTCTCTTAGCAACTTTCAGATAGGCCATACAGCAGTGTTACTGTAGTCGCCATGCTGTACATTAAGTGCATCCCCAGTACTTAAGTATCTTGTGACTGATTATTAATAGATATACCTAATATACCTATCCTGTACCTTTTGACCATGTTCACCCAATTCTCCCTCCCTCGTCTTCTGCCTCTGGTAACCACAGATCCAGTCTGTGTGTCTGTGAGTTTGGTTTGTTTAGATTCTAGGCCTGAGATCATTCAATATTTGCCCTTCTCTGAAGCTATACAGTTTGATTTCACTTCTTCCATATAATGATATTTTCGGTTTCTTCTCTTTCTTTTCCTCTTTCTTCCCCTTTCACTCTCTTTCCTCCTCCTCCTGGTGCAAAACTCTGCAGTTTAAGGTCACAGAACACAATTTGTTAGTTCACAAAAAGAATAAAAATCTACCGCAAGGGAGTAACTACAATATAAAGCTTACTATTCTTATCAATTTCTTGCATCTGTATGAAAAATACATTTAGTCAACTGTCATTGTTACCTCCGTTTACCCGGCTATGTCTGTAATGGGTCTAATTTTTCCCCCTCTAAGAAAGAGCAAGTGAGAGTAGATATGTAAAATGTATGTATATTAGCATATTCATTGATTTCTCCTCTCCATGGGACAGATCAGAATCACTAAACCAAGGGAGGTTTGGAGTACATCTTGATTTCATTTATCTTTCATAAGCTTACCTCTTATTAATATCAGTTAGAGTTATAAATTTTGTATAAGTATATCGTAAGTTTGCTGTTGGGCATGGGTTCAAATATATCTAAAATGCAAATCTCTTTTTTAATCTCAAGTTAAAATGACTTCCTTGCTGTGGTGAACTTGGTGTGTTTAAATGGAAGATGAAACATTTGTTATGCAGTATTAAAAATCAAAGGAAGATGGTATGCTGTGGTTCCCTGTTGTTTTTGTAAATATAACTTTAAATTGTTATATTATGTCTGAAATAATAATGACTTTTGCATATTTATTCAAGTGAAAATTATCCTTTTGCTACAATGAGGGGTTTTTTTTGTTTGTTTTCAGGAGCTTACCGTCCTAAACTTAAAGGTAAGTGTATTTTTATAATAGAAAAGTTTATATTACAGAATTGAAAAGAAAAATAAGGTGTTATAACTTTTAGGACATATACTGATATAGTGTGCATTTTTCTCAAATAAAAATTATCCTTTGCTGTGGTAACTTTTTTGTTTTTTATTTTTTTAAGGCTTACGTGGAGCTCAAGGTAAAAAAATTTATTAAATTCTTGGGATATTGCAGACTCGAAGCAAAACAAAGGTACTGCTGTCTTATATTTTAATGTGACTGTTAACTGAGGGGGATGTGACCGGGTGCTGCCACCGACCCAGCGTCAGCATTAGCTTAGGCACCGAGGCCGTTTCGCAGCCTGATCAGCTTGCATCCTCGCTCCCACGCCCCTGCACAGCCCGCTGAGCAGCACCACCCAAAGGGGGCATCTCCTGCGCATCCCCCTCTGCTGAGGACTCTCCTCCTCTTCCTCACTTTTCCCTCCAAACCTAGGCAGCTCCTGACCAAACCGCCACCAGAGGAAAGATACCTCTTTGCATGATAGGCAGCATGTCCCTATTTACTTTGTAAGACCGAAGTGCCCAAATCCAGCTCTTTGGGGTCACCCTTTTCTTTCTTATTTCTTTATTAGTCACATAGAATGACTACCCGAAGCCCAAGGTCCCCCCTCAGGATTTCTTAGGATTCCTGGGGGACTTTCATATGCTCGAGGTCATCCCTCAGTGCCCAGTCTCAGGTATTTCTCTGTACCCCCCCTTGTCATCTGGCCCCCCAAGGCTGCTGCTGCTCCCACCACCAGCTTTCACTCCTCCTTTCCCCTTCCCTCCCTCTTGCCCTTCCTTCCTCCCTAGTTTCAGACACAGGGGCACGGAGATGAGCGAATGGCACTCTGCAGCTCACTGCACATGGTCACCCCGTCCAGGCAAGGCCCACGCCCCTTTCACTTATACTCCTTCCCCCCTCCTCACCCCATGCACCAGGCAACCAGCCTGATGTGATTTAACACGTAGTTGTCCTGTTTGCGCGCACTCTCATGCAACGTGCATGGCTGTTTCGTGAGCATGCATTTTTAATTCACGTGGTATTTTGTCGTGGGTCCCATATTTCCTTTCCTTCTTTTTACAAAGCATCACGTTTCAAAGGTCTGTCCACGCTGTCATGTGGCCCCTGGCTCTGTTGCTTCTAACTGCTGCATGAGATGCTCTGTGGTGTCCACCTTGGCAATTTACTCTCTGCTTTCCCAGTCATGGACTCTCAGCCCTCAGTTTGCAATGAGCGTCCTCTCCCTCGGGATGTGTCGGAGGACACATCAGGCTGGCAAGGAATTGTGGGGTCTTGGGGCACACATCTGCGTGTTCTTGGGCAGAGCTGCCCACCCTCACCTCCACCAGCCACGCCTGAGGGCCCACCACACCATTCAGTAGTACCCAGCTTTCTAATTTTGCTGGTCTCGCACTGTCAAATGACACGGCGTTGTTTATAAAATCGAATGTTTATAATAACCCATGATAGCGGATCTCTTTTTATATGCATGCTAGCTTTTTCAGTTTTTTCTTCTTTTCCCTTCATCTTTGCTTTCGCCAGTTAACATCTTTGCCTCATGCCACAGGGGGCTGCAGCCTTCTTTCCCGCTGGTTTGCATTCTTGACATCCATCCACCCTCAGCTGAAGACATTGCATGTATCTTCTTCCATTCTGCCGCCCACCCATTAACTTTATCCGTGGCGAGGTTTGTTGAATATAAATCTTTAATTTTATAGAATCCAAGTCATTGATGGTTTTTCTTATGGTGAGTGCTGTCAGAGCTCGTGCTGCTCTTCTAATATCTAGTGCACCTCAGCTACCCTGGACTTTACCCATCTTCCTTTGCTGAGCATTTAGTATGAATGTTGAGACTTCTCTCTGATTCATGAGGATGCTCTTGTGCAAGCTCTGAGCAGAGCCTCTCTCTGCCCAGAAAATAACCTGCGTGTGTAGCATAACAGTTCTTCTAAAAAGAGCTCAGGAAATGCAGGGCTAAGACACAGGATGGCTGCAGCACAGTAACACTGCCCTCTGGGCACAGCCTCATCCAAGACAGAACCTTATGTAGGCGGGAATTCACCTTCACTCCCCAGGTCAAGGCCATCAGGATCCCGTGCATGACTGAAACATTCTAGGGCAGCAGCGTGAAGATGAAGTCACCCCATAGACCTTCAAGCGAAATCTAAGGGAGGAGGAAAGAAGAATATTTTTGCGTTTGTTTCCTTGTTGGTTTTATTATTTGGTTTTGACTTCTGCATCCCAGATGTCTGATACTAACCATGCCTGATACTGAAACCAATGAAATATTGTTTGCACAGCCCTTGAAAGAAGTGCCCTATTATGTACAAAAGGAGAGGAGCCTTGTTAATGCCAGCTCAGGGCTCTTTTGGTCAGTGTCAGTGACTGCTCCCTCCTTCTGTAAGGACCTTGTGAGTGCAGAGTTGAAAGAGAAGTTGCTCTACATGCAGAAAACTGCAGCACCATGAGCCTCGCCATTCCCTTATACAGACAGACACCTCTAGTTTATGCCTTCACAATTACCTAGCCAAAAAGAGGAAATCAGGTGATGTGCTTGTCCTTTTTAAAGGGAGGACAAGTTTAAAGACAGAAAATTATTGTCAAAGTTTAATGACTTTAATGATTTAATTTTTACTGTTAACACAATTTTAAACATTGGAAATTGTTTTATTATAGAAAGTACAGAAAATCGGACTGCTAATATGGATGCAGGTAAGTTAACATTATTCTTTTTTACTAGTGGTCCCCTGGTTTAAGTTTTTAAAAAAATTTTTAGAGGACATTTATTAAAACTTGGGACAGTGAAACAAGGAAGGGCCTAGGCTAGAAGAAGCAGCAGGAGAGGGACTAGGTGGGGAAATGCGCCTAGGCTGGGCCTCTTTCACTCACTAAGAGGTCAGAGCAAAGGGGGCTTTGGGGACAGGGTCAGGGGGTTAATCCAGGACAAGCTGCCACAGCCCATTGCTCCCTAGTTGTGAGTCTCATGGGGTCCCTTAGGCTTTAAGAGATGCACACCTGTGGGGGAAGGAGAGGGAGAAGGGAAAGGTGCAGGAGTGCTCCCAGGAGGGAAAACGTGCACTGGGTCCTTTGTTTTGAGGATTTTTTTTTTTTTTTTGGTTAATCTTCCTCTGAGGATATTTTTCCCCACTGATTTTTAGAGAGAGTGGAAGGGAGAGAGGGAGGGAGAGAGGGAGGGGAGGGAGAGAGAGAAACATTGATGAGAGAGAGACATGTAGATTGGTTGCCTCACCCACACGCCTGGACCAGGTGGGGGATCAAACCTGCCACCCAGGTATATGCCCTTGATTGGGAATTGAACCTGAGACCCTTAGTTTAAGTTTAATTTTAGTGCTGTATGTGTATGTATACGTGTATGTAATATAATTGATTCAGGCAACAATTACCTTTGATATCAATTTAAATAGAAAAAAAATAACATTACTTCTCTCCTTTCCTTATCATTTTTAAGTAAAATAAGCATAAATGTTTCTTGAGAACTGCTTTAAAAATTGATTAATGCATATGACTAATTTGGAAGTGAAACAATACTCTAGTCCTACATAAAGTTTTTCTATTTGTTATGAGCTTTGTCAGGTCAGTTTTATCAAAAACAAGAAAATGTCAAGCATGACCCAGGAAATACATTTTGAAAGAAAAATAATGGATTTAATTGAATTAACATGATAATAGAAGGTCTATGAAGATCTGTATTCTGGCCAGTTGTGTACTAAAAGCCAAGATAAATTTAAGTGTTAAGTTCCTGGGAAGCCAGTAATTGATAAGAGCTTTCAGGTCAGCTTGACTTGCATTAAATCCTAACTCAGTTACTTATTAGCTATATAACTTTAGGTGAGTAACTTAACCTCAAATACAAAATTGGAATGAAATAGCTCCCTATTTTAAACTAAAGTTCATACAAGGCTCCCTTCTAATTGCCAGGCCCCAAAACTAATTAACATTTTAAAAAATCAGGCAAGCCCGGCTGGGCGTGGCTCAGCGGTTGAGCGTCGACCTGGGATCCAGGTGATCGGGGTTCGATTCCAGGTCAGGGCACATGCCCAGGTTGTGGGCTCGATCAATGACTCTCTCATCATTGATGTTTCTATCTCTCTCTCCCTCTCCTTTCCTCTCTCTGAAATCAATAAAGATATATATATATTTTTTAAATGCAAAAAATTCTAAAAAAAAATAATAATAAAAAAAGTTAAAAATCAGGCAATGGGTTAAAAATGTAGATCTCAAAGCTACAGATACTCAGAAGGGATTTTCAGCAAAGGTCTTTTATTAATTTTTAGATGCCACCCAAGATGGTTTCACAGAACTCAATGAATGAGGTCTCTCTTCTTCCAGAGGCCCACACAGAAATTTAACACCTGCCATCACACTCTTTCCCCAACCTTAGGAGGGGTGGGAGCCCTACCCCCAAATCTATCCACATTTGTTCACAACTTCTCTTCCCTGAGGACCTTCCTCCTTATATGCTCAAAACAATTGGCAGTGATATTAATTCTCCTTTTTCATTTGGAGCTAAGAAGCACATCTACAAAAATTTTCAGGACATGGTAAAATAGAGACTAAGGAGAGCATCTTATACTATCACTTTCTTCCTTTGTCATGAATTCTCTTGCAAATTCATGTCTTAAGCCTCACTCTACCGTGTTTTTCCCCAGTAACAAATGTGTCACATCTGAATGCTCACAGAGGGAGGAAAGGTCATCACATGTCAAGTGGCTAACCACATACTCCCCTCTCCTGGCCAACTGACCTGGGTTGTCTAGAGGTTCCTAACACATTACCTCTCAGGGTTAACGTGATGACTAAATAAGATAACCACATACAAAGTACTTAGCATGGGGTTTGACATTTAGAAAGTACTTAATATTAGCATCATTAATGTTAATATTATTGAAAATGTTTCCATAAAAACAGCCTCTAAAAAGTAAAAACCAAGCCCTGGCCCATGTGGCTTAGTTGGCTGAGCATTGTCCCATGCACCAAAAGGTCACTGGTTCAGTTCCCCTCCTGGCTCGATCCCCAGTGGGGAGCATGCAGAAGGCAGCCGATCCATTGGTGTTTCTCTTTCTCTCACTCCCTCTCCCTTCCTCTCTCCCTCAAATCAATAAAAACATTATTTTAAAAAATAAGTAAAAACTATGAAAGTGAGAAGACAAGGGTTTTTACCACCCTGAGCTGACCCAGCCAGTAGTAATGCCTGGGCATGTGGCATCTCTCATCGGCCAGAGGTTGGTAAATGTTTAACCCTTCAGCCAGCCTCTTCCTGCCACTAGTCCACCTTTAGGGAGATTTTGAGAGAACCAACCCAATTTTAATATTAAGCCGGAATTTTTAAACAAGATAAATAGTGCAGTTCAGCACCCCAAATAATTTACTAGTGAACCTGGCCTCTTTCATACTAGCTGTGACTCTGCTTTTTTTGTGGCATAATCAAGAATTGTCTGCCCACAAGGTAACCGGTTCAAAAATCATATGATCTCTTTTTTTCTTGAAGAAAGAAAACGGATAAAATCATTGTTCCCTCAACTAGCCTGTGGAGTCAAAAACAAGGTGCCCAGTCGAAGGAAGCGAGTCATAGGAGGAAAGGCAGCACAAGTGGTAATATTCCTTCCTTCCCAGGAACAGCCCGAGTGTGGGAGGGGGGGTTATATAATTATAAGAGACTGGAAGTGTTGCAGTGGAAATCTTTTAGAGTCACCTGTTTGTAGAATGGCAGTGACCACACAAATGTCTTTACAGGGAGACTTCCCATGGCAGGTGGCAATTAGGGAAGATGAGAAATTCAGCTGTGGAGGAATTTATATTGGTGGCTGTTGGGTCCTGACTGCTGCACATTGTGTCAGGTAAAATATGTCTCCAATAGATTTTGGCTTTCCTGAAACATGAAAATGAGTAACAGAGGGTAATCAAAAGCACATCTGAGAAAAGTCACTGACAAGTTCCACTCTACTGATCGCTAAATACCCTCTGATATTCACAACAGGGACCTCAGAGGCCAATCCCCCAGAACCTACTGTGTTGCCCACAGGCCAAATCGTTGATCCCAGCTGGCAAGGGTAGATCAAACCTGTAGGTACCAATTTACTTTACTTGCTTCATTTGCATGGTGGGAAAGTAAGTTGGTGCTACCTGCATGTATCTCCTCCTTTGACAGGGTTTGAGATTTTCAGATCAGAGAAGTGGGGTAGGCATTGTGTATCTGGATTCAACATTAGCATGTAACAAAAGATGTCCATAATTATCTACAGATCGGAAATATAATTTTGATGCAGGACCAATAAGGCAAGTTAATAAGTGTCTGTATTCAATTGCAAGGGCTGCTATACTGAGTACCACAGAATGGGGGACTTAAACAACAGAAATTTTTTTTTTCTCACAGTCTGGAGGCTGGAAGTTCAAGATCAGGATATCAGTAGGGTTGGTTTCTCCTTGGGTCACAGATAGCTGCCTTCTTGCTGTGTCCTCACATGGCCTTTGCTCCATAAGACTGCATTCCTGATGCCTCTTCCTGTTTTTATAAAGAGACCAGTCATATTGGATTAAGGCTTCACTCCTATGACCTCATTTAACCTTAGTTAAACTTCTTTAAAGGCCCTATCTCCAAACACATCCAGTCACATTGGCGATTAGGGCTTCAACATGTGAATTTTAGGGGGACACAATTTAGTCCATAAGAGTGACTGCAGGAAAATACCTAAAAGGTGCCGATAATGAATAAAGTCGTCTTGAAGGACGACAGAGTTTGGGATTCTGGCCTCCATTCTGATCTTTAGAATGAATGAAATATCATTTATCAAGCACCTCTTACAGACCAAATGCCATGCCTGACACTTTCACATCTGTCATTTGGTTTTAATATTCACACAGTTCTAAGAGGTAAATGTTAGTCTTCCCATTACATAGATAAGCAGACTGAGAAGTTATATGACTTGTCTGAAGCTACACTACTGGTCAGTAGTAGGGCCAGGGTAAAATCCAGGTCAATATACCTGACAGTAGCTTAGATGAAGGCCTACTTAACAAATCTGCAGATGACCCAACATTGAGAGGAATGGGAAACATGTTGAATGATTAAATATGCTGGGTGATACCCATAAAGATCCTCATAGGTTGGAGCAATGAGCCAAAATGTAATTTCTTCCAGAATGGTCCCTTTCTCTTGGCCTTTGTGATATACTCTCCTTGTTTTCTTCCATCCTCTGTAAAGGCCACACCTTCCCTGCCTTTTTTGCAGCTTCCCCCTTCTGTGACTGAACATTATTAATTCTGGAGTTCTCCAATATTTAGCTTGGTTTCCCCTTCTCTTCCTACTTCTCTCCTTAAAATTAATTGTGCTTTATGCTGAAACAATGCTATATACTGACACAGTGATATCTCCTGCCTGGACCTCTCCAACCACTGACCATCTACAGTCAACTGTCTATCAATACTTCTTGCCTATATCAAAAGTACATTCAATTTAGAACCTCTAAGACTGAGCTCATGATGTGCCCCTTGCTCCAAATATGGTTCTGTCCCAGTGTTTCCTATCTCAGCAAATGACACCACCATTCATCTAGTTACACAAGGCAGAAATCTAAGATTTCACTTCCTCAACCCTACCACAACCCAGCCAACCTATCACTAACTCTAGGTGGCATTTTAAATTTCTAATTATTTAATTCTCAAATCTTTCCATCTCCATGGTTACCATGCTTTTGCCTTTCATCTGGATTATACCAACTGCCTCCTAATAGGCTTACCTACATCCACTCTGCCCACCTCCTCCCCCATCTATCCATTCTCTACTGTGCGTCAAGAGCAATATTTCCATACCTGGTTTTGATCACTTATTGCTTAAAATTCAATGGCTTTGCATTCCTCTTAGGATAAAAACACACACACAACTGAACAAAAACATAACATGGCCCATTAGGCCCATATGACCCGAGCCCTACTTACCTTGGTGAAATTCATCTTGCCCCGAATCTTCACCTCCTGCTCTCTGCTCCACCCACTCTGGACTTCTTTCATCTACTCACGTGCACCTCTCTCCCTGCTGCAAAGAGACCATCTAATGTTGTTTCCCCTGCCTAAATGATCCTTCCTACTCTGTTTCCCTACTTAGTTCTACTCATTATTCATATCTCAGCTTAATATCACTTCCTCAGAGAACCTTCCCTGACTCCCTTAAGTCAAAGAAGCCCTCTTGATAAGTTCTTAGAACCCATGTGCTTTCATTCCTCTCCCTTTTCACAGTAAAATACGTATCTTCATTAGTGTGATTACCTACTTAATGCTACATGTTTCCCTAATCCCTGAGCTCCATGAAGGCAGGAACTACTTCTGACTTTGCTCATTTCTGTATCCCAATGGCTACCACAGTAACTGGTATACAGTAGGTGCACACTAAGTATTCCTTTAGTAAATTGAATGCATGGAGAGGGTTAACCTTTCAACAATATTCGGGACCTCTGATCCTGAAAAACAACCAAAGTTAATATGAAGAGCAGCATTCTTGCAGCACCAAGTATTAAATAAAAGCATCCTGAATACCTCATTAGCTTTTAGGACATCACTGTTTAAGGTGATTATCTGAGAAAAATTATGGTAGATGCCCAATTTGCTGGAAACCAAGAGGTAAAAATTGGTATAATATGGAGAGGGGCATAAGAACAGGCAATATTTAGCTCATTCACCGTTTCAGCCAGATTTTAAAACAGCTACTATGTTCCATGTACAATGCTAGGCATGGGCATCTATGCATAGATTAACAAGATTCTGTTTTTCAGTTCAAGGCTGTGAGCAAATAAATGTAATGCAACGTTAGGATGAAGTCTTAAAGGTCGGGATAACAACTGCTGTGGTCTTCACTCTGAGAACCTCTGGGGTTAGCAGAGCAATGGGAATGTGTACTCTGACTCCCCATTTCTGGCTCAATACTGTCTGGTCTCTGCAAACACCTTCAGTGCTGGTGCTCTCATCCAGAGGAAGCCAACGCATTCCACTTGTGTGCATCGCTGATTGTCAGCGAATTTTTTTTCCCAATTTCTTTAATGATCGTATATATTATTTCCAATATTTTATTCATATTTATATAACAAGATGTAATAACCAGCTTAGTACTTTGTCATCTCAAATTCTACATTACCTAAAAAATTGGTTTCTTTATCTTTCAAGTTTCCACCTACCATAATAAATCCTCTGGTTGCAACTTAATTTTTTTTTTTGAATTTTTAAAATTTGTTTGTTGGTTTGTTTACTGCGTTTAAAATATTACAGATGTCCCTTTTTCTCCCCAATGACCCATTCCACCCTGTCCCATCCCCCTCTCCAGTCCCTCTCCCCACCATTGTCCGTGACCTTGGGTTGTGCATATACACATATAAATTCTTTGGTTAATCTCTCCCCCTCCACCCACCCGCGCCCCTCCATCCCTCTGACATTTGTCAGTCTCATCTATGCTTCCATGTCATTGAATCTATTCTTTTCATCAGCTTATTAAGTTCTTTAGATTCCACATATAAGTGCAATCATGTGATGTTTGTCTTTCTCTGCCTGGATTATTTCACTTAGCATAATTTTCTCCAGGTCCATCCATAATGTCCCAAAGGGTACGAGATCCTTCTTCTTTACAGCTGCATAGTATTCATGGTGTAAATGTCCCACAGCTTTTTTATCCACTCATCTACTGATGGGCACTTGGGCTGTTTCCAGATCTTAGCTATTGTAAATTGTGCTGCTATGAACATTGGGGTACATATATTCTTTCTGATTAGTGTTTCAAGATTCTTAGGATATATTCCTAGAAGTGAGATCACTGGGTAGCTCCATTTTTAACCTCCATACTGTTTTCCATAGTGGCTGCACCAGTCTGCATTCCCACCAGCAATGTACTAGGGTGCCCCTTTCTCCACACCCTTGCCATCACATGTTATTTGTTGATTTGTTGATGGCAGCCATTCTTACTAGTGTGAAGTGATATCTCATTGTGGTTTTAATTTGCATCTCTCTGATGATTAGTGACATTGAGCATTTTCTCATATGTCTCTTGGCCATCTGTATGCCCTCCTTGGAGAAGTGTCTATTCAGGTCCTTTGCCCATTTTTTAGTTGGGTTGTTTGTCTTCTTCTTGCTGAGTAGTATGTGTTCTTTGTACACTTTGGAAATTAGCCCCTTATCAGATATATCTTTGGCAAATATGTTTTCCCAGACCATGGGGTTCCTTTGTATTTTGAGGCTGTTTTCTTTTGCTGTGCAGAAGCTTTTTAGTTTGATGTAGTCCCATATGCTTATTT